CTGGACACAGTTCACTGAGTGAATTCCCCTCTCAGATGTAGAATGTATAAACTACTGCAGGTTCAGACGTCTAAAAATATCTACACATCAAAAGCAGAACAAACACATTCACAAACATGAGCATTTCACACACTTATGCTCTTTCTATATTTGCTCCTCCCGCTCTCGTCCTCACTGAACTTTGGACCTTCACATGATGATCACACACGCACACACACGCACACACACATCAGATAATATTCGGACATATTTGTTTAAAGTTAACCTTGGAAAGTGAAGGATGACTGAAGCGTGATTGACGGATGGCTGGATTGATGAGCGGCTTTACTAGTTCTTATATTGTTCTGTGAGTGTGTGTTTATAACTTTGGACCTTCACATGATGATCACAACGCACACACACACACGCACACACACACACACATCAGATAATATTCGGACATATTTGTTTAAAGTTAACCTTGGAAAGTGAAGGATGACTGAAGCGTGATTGACGGATGGCTGGATTGATGAGCAGCTTTACTAGTTCTTATATTGTTCTGTGAGTGTGTGTTTATCTGTGTTCTCTCTCTTTCCACTTCCTGGAGATGTTTTGCCATTTCCTGCCCGATCAGCTGCAGGAAGTTGTTAACATTTATCTCTAATCTAACAAGTGTGAGATACGGGTCAGATTTTCCTTCTGAAAAAACACGAATACATGCAAACACAGAAACGCAGTGACTTTCTTATACATGCTCCTGGTCTTATCGTGCATGATTTATTAGTTCACTTTACTTGAAGGGGTGTGCATAAGACTGACATGACACCTACATAATCAAGACATGACACATGTCATGAATATGAAGGAGGTTTTATGCATGTTTATGACAACTGTCATTAAGTGTCATTCGCTCAGTTATGTCATTTTTAATGCAAATATGACATTATTTGACCTAACCCTACCCCTACCCTTACCCCTAACCATAGCCCATAACAAAGACATCTCAAACAATGTCATCTTTGCATTAAAAATTACATAACTGAGCGAATGACACTTAATGACAGTTGTCATAAACATGCATAAAACCTCCTTCATATTCATGACATGTGTCATGTCATGATTATGTATGTGTCATGTCATGATTATGAAGGTGTCATGTCAGTCTTATGCACACCCCTTCAAGTAAAGTGTTACCTAATTTTTAATTTCAGTTTTATTTTTATTCATTTTAGTTCAGTTTATTTCAGTTGACAAAAACAATTTGTGATTAGTTTTAGCTTTAGTTAATGATAACAACACTGCATCACATCGTGTCAGTTATTATTTGCATGAAGTAGCATTTGAAGCATGTGATCTTTCATGGCCTTTTCTTTGTGCTTGTGTGTAGGTCATCACACAGTCTACATTGGAGTTCACGTGCCTAAGAGTTACCGTCGCCGTCGACGACACAGACGACGATCCAATCACAAAGAGAGGAGGGAGCGTTTGGTGGAAAACTTCAGCGACAAATCAGACACAGAGACTGCAGACGATCCGTCCTCCAGCATCCTCAAACCACTCAGTAAGAGAGAAATGAAGACAAACTGCCCATCGTGCACTCAGTTTACTCCTGTATGCCTGTGCTATCAGTATGATCTGAACAGTATTTGTTTTGTCATTTCCTGCCCAAAACCTCTGAGCCTCGAAGTCTTATGAAAAATTAGTTGCTTTCTTATGTTGAACACAAAATAAGATATTTTGAAGATTGCTGGTAATCAAACAGTTGGTGGTTGCCATTGACATCCATAGTATTTTTTTCCTACTATGGAAGTCAATGGCAACCACCAACATAAGAAAGCAACTCATTCAAGTTTGGAACGACATGAGGGTGAGTAAATGATGACAGAATTTTCATTTTTGGGTGAACTATCCCTTTAAGTAATTATTTGCTGATAATCTTCCCTTCTGCTGGAGCTCACCAGCAACTTCCCAGAGTTTCTTCATCTATCCTGCCTCAGATGAACTCCGGTGGGAGAATCTCACAAAATCTGTCGAGAACAAGACATATTTCACTACAAAATATCACACCATTTTAAAGAGGATGAAGCGTAGTTTATGACCATTAAAACATTATTTTCATGATGATTAAGCACATTTTCACCCCAAATGTCATTAATTTAAAATATTTTTTTTCAAATGATTTCTTTCTTTCTTTCTTTCTTTCATCTCTCTCTCTCTTTCTTTCTTTCTTTCTTTCTTTCTCCCTTTCTTTCTTTCTTTCATTTCTCTCTCTTTCTCTTTCTTTCTTTCTTTCTTTCTTTCTCCCTTTCTTTCTTTCTTTCTTTCATTTCTCTCTCTTTCTCTTTCTTTCTTTCATCGTTCTCTCTCTCTCTCTCTCTCTCTCTTTCTATCATCTCTCTCTTTCTTTCTTTCTCTCTTTCTTTCTTTCTCTCTCTCTCTCTTTCTATCTTTCTATCATCTCTCTCTCTCTTTCTCTCTTTCTTTCTTTCATCGTTCTCTCTTTCTTTCTTTCATCTCTTTCTTTCTTTCTCTCTCTCTCTCTTTCTATCTTTCTATCATCTCTCTCTCTCTCTCTTTCTTTCTTTCATCGTTCTCTCTTTCTTTCTTTCATCTCTCTTTCTTTCTTTCTTTCATCTCTTTCTTTCTTTCTTTCTTTCTTTGTGTTTTTAAATAATGTAAATTATTAAATAAAAAGTAGTGTTAATTATTATTTATTTGCTGATAATCTTCCCTTCTGCTGGAGCTCACCAGCAACTTCCCAGAGTTTCTTCATCTATCCTGCCTCAGATGAACTCCGGTGGGAGAATCTCACAAAATCTGTCGAGAACAAGACATATTTCACTACAAAATATCACACCATTTTAAAGAGGATGAAGCGTAGTTTATGACCATTAAAACATTATTTTCATGATGATTAAGCACATTTTCACCCCAAATGTCATTAATTTAAAATATTTTTTTTCAAATGATTTCTTTCTTTCTTTCTTTCTTTCATCTCTCTCTCTCTTTCTTTCTTTCTTTCTTTCTTTCTCCCTTTCTTTCTTTCTTTCATTTCTCTCTCTTTCTCTTTCTTTCTTTCATCGTTCTCTCTCTCTCTCTCTCTCTCTCTTTCTATCATCTCTCTCTTTCTTTCTTTCTCTCTTTCTTTCTTTCTCTCTCTCTCTCTTTCTATCTTTCTATCATCTCTCTCTCTCTTTCTCTCTTTCTTTCTTTCATCGTTCTCTCTTTCTTTCTTTCATCTCTTTCTTTCTTTCTTTCTTTCTTTGTGTTTTTAAATAATGTAAATTATTAAATAAAAAGTAATGTTAATTATTATTAGCATTATTTAAAAAAAGTGTATATATAATATCTATTATATATTTAAATCATATTAATGTATTTCACTATATATTATTAAAATTTGTTTAGATTAATGTAATTTAGTATATAATTAAAACAATTTGTATATAATTACAATTATCAAGTGTTTGTAAGTCATGGTAGTATTGGTAGTATAATATAATATTATTCATAATATCATAAATAATTATGTAGTAAAAATCTGTATAAAAAGAGAATAACTTATTAGAATAACCATTAAGGAATTACATAAAAACGCAAAATTAAAATGTCTGGATGCATAAAATCCGTGTATCATTCGATCATTGGTTTTTTTTTAAACGGCTCCTTTTTCGTTTTTTCCTTTTTTTCCTAAAAACGAAAAACGAGAATTCAGCTTAAATTTTCGTTTTTCGTTCATGGGTGGAAAAATTAATAAACAGCTTGAATATTCGATTTATACACATGGGCGGGGATTAAACGCCCCTTTCTGCTGATTGGTCAGCCAAAGATCAAACTGTGCCGAAATTGATCAAATGGGTTATTAATCCGTACAACTGCAGCAGCGGAGGACTATTATTCTGCTGCATGATACTGCAGAAGAACTGATGACTGCACGGTTTGATATTCAGCTGACCAATCAGCAGAAAGGGGCTTTTAATTCCCGCCCACATGTAGAAATCAAATATTCAAACTGTTTATTAATTTTTTCCACCCATGAACGAAAAACGAAAATTTAAGCTGAATTCTCGTTTTTCGGAAAAAACGAAAAAGGATCAGTTTTCTCAATTTTCTGCTTTCAATATTAAATAAAAAAACGAATGATCGAATGATACACAGATTTCGTAACAATTTATTTGTTTCTTTGTTTTATTTTATTTTTTACATTTAGGAGTAAAATGGATTATAAGATTCACCCTGACAATAAATATTTAAAAAATGGCACATTTAGATTTAGTTGTTGACAACAATATACATTATCAAAATCTTATTTTTATTATTATTAGTATTTATAATGCATATATTATATTATTCTATATATTCATATTATATATATGGAGAATCAGGTGGTGATTTAAATAAATATGATTGACCCGAGAGCGATGTAGAGTCAGGTAACAATTTATTTGTTTCTTTGTTTTATTTTATTTTTTACATTTAGGAGTAAAATGGATTATAAGATTCACCCTGACAATAAATATTTAAAAAATGGCACATTTAGATTTAGTTGTTGACAACAATAAACATTATCAAAATCTTATTTTTATTATTATTAGTATTTATAATGCATATATTATATTATATTATTTATGTTTAGATTTGTTGTTGACAACAAATGCCATCGGTTCTTGCATGTCAAGTCTACAGTGACTTAAATTATATTATTATTATTATTAAAATAATATTATACATTATTATATTACTTCAGAAGACTGTCTTGCACAAGTCATGTTGACTACTTTTATTAAATTTTTATAGTACTTTTTAGGATTCACCATCCATTTTCCTTGTAAAGAATACAGCAGCTCACATCTCATTCTGTGTTTCACAAAAGAAATAAATCAATAAAAAAATCTGCAAGCCATTCCTAATCAGATGACAACCTTCACAGATATTTCCCAGGCCTTTATCACAGAGCGATCCATAATGTTCTGGAGAATCAGGTGGTGATTTAAATAAATATGATTGACCCGAGAGCGATGTAGAGTCAGAGTGAGATAAAGCGGCGCTCACAGCCTCAGTTAAAGGTCTTTGTGTGTGTTAATCTCTGCTAATCAGTGACGCGGCTGAAAAGGCAAAGCATCGAGCTAAACAAGTGCATAGTCACCTTTATCTGCACTTATCCTCAGTGAACCCGCTCCACCTCTCCATCGCTCTCTCCTGCTGTAGATCCTGTGAGAATCACACATTTCACAGACATTACTTACAGTAAGTCACTGGGTTAAACTAACAAACACATTTCTCACATAATCATAGTATGTACGGCTTCTCGTGGCTGGATTTAGCATTGGGAGTCAGCTGATCGCAGCAATGCCTCTAGTTTAAGTATATGCTAGTGGTATAACGGGTCATTTTAGCTGCTTGTGGGAAGAATTGTTAACTTTTAGCCCATGTTAGGAGGCAAGGAGCCAGATGTGGGTCAGAAGGATGTTCTTGTGTGTACAACACAGCCTTATTATCTCCAGAGGGGCTGTTTCAGGCCGCTGGGGGAGGAAAACAATCGCCTGGCTTTGGCTAGTTTAGCGTAGATTAGCTGAGTGTGCTGCAAATGTGCTAAATGCAGAGAGAGAAAGGCCGTTCCTGTTAAAAAGCCTTGAATATGTTAAAATATTAGTGTTCAGTATAAAGCCTGGTGCCACTGCCTTGCATTTTTTTAATCATTTAATATGTTTTTTTAAAACTCCCTTTTATATTGTCATCATAATAGTGATTATACATATTGTTTTAGTATTTGGTTTGTCTCTCATTTGGATAAATGATCACTGCACTGGAGCTCATATGCAAATATCTCTATAGATGTCATGAAGTTGCTTATTAGTTCTAGAAATAGTGCTAAATCTTAAGTGTTACGTTTCTTTGATTCAAATTTATTTTTAAATAAGTCCTAAGGGGTTCATAATGCCAAAATAGATCCAAGTACCGCTTTGTTGTTGATAAGAAAATTCTAAGAAAGTATTTTTAGTTGCTTTTATTTGATGTTACAACAGTCAAGTGGAAGAAGACAGAGCTTTCCTAAAATGCATTGTTGCTTATTTGAAAATATGAGTTTGACAAAGACATAAATAGTTTCAGAAATTCGTAATTATATCTATATTAATACTCTATCTATCTATCTATCTATCTATCTATCTATCTATCTATCTATCTATCTATCTATCTATCTATCTATCTATCTATCCTATATTAAAACTGCATGAAATGTGTATATATATATATATGTGTGTGTGTGTACAAGACTGCATTTATATGACCAAGATTACAGTAAAATTGTGAAATATTATTACAATTGAAAATAACTGTTTGAATATATTTTAAAGTATAATTTATTTCTGTGATTTTGAATCAAAATATCCAGTCAGTCACTATGTTGCAATACAACCAATATATATTCCATATATACTGACTTCCCTAACTAGCAGTCTGTCCGGGAAGGCTGTACTCAGTAATCAACAGGTTTTTTTTTTTGACCTGATTTCCCAGACATAGACACAAATCTCATTAGTTTCCCAAACGTCTTGCCTTAAACCTTTTGTTTGTTCTAGTTTTTCCTTTAAGAGGCACTGCCTGTGCAGAAAATTGAGTCTTTGTAATGTAAAAGTGTACACTTTGCAGTTATGAGAAACGCTGACAGGCTCTTTTTTTTTTAAAAAGTAGGCTTCCTCATGCACACACTTTCACATTTGATAACTTCCCTGTGAAATTCAGATGCTGGTCAGTTCTAGCTTTCGCAACACTCTCTATTTCTGTTTGTCCAGGAAATAAGTCTCACATACTTTTTGGGTGTAACACACTTGATATTTACAAGAAAGCTAATTCATGTTGATGTTACATAACACCTATGAAGGAAGTAACCTGTGATTTCTGTTACAGTCACACCTTAAGCAGACAGAGGGCTATTGTCTTCTTGTGTGTTTCTGTTAATGTATCTGTTGTTTGATTATAATAGCTATAATAGCTAGTATTTTTAGGTTAGCAGGCCTCTCTCACCCCTGGTTTGTTGTTTTCTCGTCAGTTTCACCTGCTGCAGAGAGGATTCGCTTTATTTTGGGGGAAGATGACAGCGGACCTCCTCCACCGCAGCTCTTCACCGAACTCGACGAGCTTCTCACCGTTGACGGACAAGAGATGGAGTGGAAGGAAACAGCCAGGTAAAGTGTAAAAAAACACCCCTAAACATTATGAACAGAAGATTGGAAGAATATATACCGAAGCAATCTCGATTTCAATCTATGTCGCATTTTATTAAAGGGGTCATGACATAAGAAATCAAATTTGCCTTGATGTTTTGACATATAAGAGGTCTTTGTACCATTAAAACATCCTGCAATTTTCAAAGCTTAATACATCCTCCTTGTTATAAACAAAGAATTCATCAAACTCCAAAAATGGCTTGGATATTGTGGGATTTTTGTTGTCACAAAGGTGAATATATTTGCATATGACCGCCTCAAGAGCAAGACATCAACCAATAGTTATACATCTTCACACCAGAGGCCCCGCCCACTGGCATTTAACTTGATAAATGGCGTTGATATTGTGGCATATGCACTGATGTTAGCCAATCAAAAAAGTGGCCATTTACTGACCATTTACTGCCTTAAAGGAGCCACCCCCTAAAATCAGATCATTTTAGACAGAGGGTTGAAAATAATAGTTTTTCCTTGTATATATATATATATATATGTATGTATGTATGTATGTATGTATGTATGTATGTATGTATGTATGTATGTATGTATGTATATATATATGTATATATATATATATATA